CGTTCAGAAATCTCAAAAAAGTAGGTTTTATAATGGTAAAATTGGTGATTTTTTTAAGCAGAATGCATATTTGTTTGTTAAGATTTTAGTAAAACTTATATACTAGCCACAAGAAACAGGAATCGTGTGGATAACCGTTCGACCATCAACTAGCTGCAATAACTGACCTTTAGCGACCCCGCCCTAGTGAAAGGAGCACAGGTCCTGCTCATATCTCCTTGCAGGATACACAAATACACAGATATCGGATCATAGCTACTAAAACGGTTCCACGGTGTCTTTAAAACGATACAGACCGAAACAGATTTTTGTTTGCACTTACGCCATCATCTCTCCTCGTTACAAAGAAGTGCTTGCAATTTCGATCGTCGATTTATTTGCATATTGAGGCTTGTCGACGTTCTTCTAAGGAAGGAGATTTATTGGACCTTTCAAAATCTAACATAGCGTTTGAGTTCTTAGAAATTATTCGCACCCTCAGGCTGATGAGAAAAGGCGGACCTGATATGGTCTAAACAGTTTAAAATATCACACCAGGTACAATTTCGGATATTATTCTTGCTCGGTTTCATAGAGGAAATGTTAGACCAATTTTAGCATCGAAAGAGTTTTAGCCTTGCGCAACTAGATCAGTAGTCATAATTACTTATTAAAAAAACAGATAATAAGTGCACCTACAAGGGTGCAAGGTGTCTGGCCTAATTTTTCCTTAATTGCTGGAGATGGAATAAAATTCAAACTTGCCACTCCCCTTCCATTTTCATTTCTACTTTAAATTCTTGTTTCATTGAATCTTCGATTTCATCGATCATTCGTCAATCCTATTCTTTTTCTTTTCCGACAGTACCTCCCGATGGTTCCCCTCTTCCATAGCAGACAGGCTTTTCCAATTCCAACGGCAAATAATTTGGCTGTGCGTTTCAGCCCGAAAGTAATGCTAGACTTGGTAACCCCAGTACACAAAAAAAGAAACCGCACCATACTCAAACATACCAAAAGCAATTGCGCTCGAAACCATTTATGAAAGGTTCTCATCAACAGAGTGGGTCCATGTATATACCGATGACTCAGCACGAAGCAACGGTGGTGGAGGAGTGCGGAATGCTTCCGAATATTTGCATCAGTTGGTCAAATAACATTGAATTTTAACGGAGAAGTGAAAGCTCTCTCTTGGCAATACAGAGACTAAAGAAAGAGCCCAGTAGCAGTAATGTAGTTTTGCTTATAGATTCTCGGGCAGCCACACAAGCAATGTTTTGCCTGTCGAATCCACGACGGATGTCAGGCTTTTAAGAGAGGAAATGTCTGCTCTCATAACTACGGGGTGGATTATTTGCCTCCAGTGGATTCGAAGTCACTTTGGAACCATGGGAAATGAAGATGCACATAAACTAGCGAAATTGGAAGCAGAAAACCAACAACCGAAGGTTCCTCAAGAATACGAACAACAAAAGATTTTTAAAAAGTTTACTAAATGAGAAAGAGAAAAGCATGTAGCAAGTTCAGAAGGGAAATAATGGTCAATTCGTCTTGATAACCCTCTCCCAGAAGACCTTCCTCGTATGGTATCTGTCAGTTGTTTTATACTGCTCACAGGTCATGATTACCTGCGGGTTCATCTCCACCGTATTGGGATTGCGGATAACCTCTCTGGTAACCTGGTGGCGAAAATAATATGACTGGAACACATCTGCTGAACCACTGTGAAGTTCTAGCCGATGAAAGATTGAGTCTAAATATTACCGTTGAGCAGATTATATTGCTGCGCGCCTTGTGATGATACATCAATAGGCGCGGCATCGGGAGAAAAAAACACTCTTTCCTTACATGCAGCTTTCAAGCAGTTACTACTTACTCCTCCTTCCTTCCCTTAACATCAGGTGTTCTTCAATGCTCGTGTTCACCATTTACATCAATAAACTTCCCGGTTCCATTCAACATTGCGCTTACCACCTCTATGCGATGACTTCCAAATTTTCAATTCCTTCCATCCCTCCGAATTACATCCTAGGAAGCCCTAAGCTATTGTTACAGGATCCAGTCACCACCTCAAATCGAAGCGGTCCTTCCCAGCACGAGCCACAAATCTGTGGAATTCTCTTCGTTTGCCAATCCATAAAACCGCCTTTCTTACCTTTCTTCAATCCAACTTGTAAGATCACCTCATCTGCCTCAACAATGTTATTAGTTATTCTTTCTACGTGAGAAAGCTTTTTTACTTCATTTCTTCAACTTTTAGGTTCACATTTTGTGATTATGTTCGCACAAGAAAGGGGATTCTTTTATTATTATTATTTTATCATAATTCTTATTATTGCTACGATTATTTTTGTTTTTATATTTTGTATTATGTGTTTTATTTCACTATACGTTAACGACAAACCTTCATTAATTTAAGCGCCAGACTTGTAAAAAAAATAATGTGGCTTGTTGTTATTTTTAGGGAAAGCTTTTTTACTTCCTTTCCTCAACTTTTAAGATCACACTTTGTGATTATGTACGCACAAGAATAGGGATTGTTGATTATTATCTTTTCCCTAAATTCTTATTATTACTACTATTATTTATATTTTTTATATTTTGTATTATGTGTTTTATTTCACTGTACGTTAACGACAAACCTTCATTAATTTAAGCGCCAGATTTGTAAAAAATTCTGTGGCTTGTTATTTTTAGGGAAAGCTTTTTTACTTCCTTGCCTCAACTTTTAAGATCACATTTTGTGATTATGTACGCACAAGAATAGGGATTGTTGATTTTTTTTTCTAAATTCTTATTATTACTACTATTATTTCTATTTTTTATATTTTGTATTACGTGTTTTATTTCACTATACGTTAACGTCAAACTTTCATTAATTTAAGTGCCAGATTTGTAAAAATTTCTGTGACTTATTGTTATTCTTAGGGAAGGCTTTTTTACTTCCTTTCCTCAACTTTTAAGATCGCATTTTGTGATTATGTACGCACAAGAATAGGGATTGTTGATTTTTTTTTCTAAATTCGTATTATACTACTATTATTTCTATTTTTTATATTTTGTATTATGTGTTTTATTTCACTGTACGTTAACGACAAACCTTCATTAATTTAAGTGCCAGATTTGTAAAAATTTCTGTGACTTATTGTTATTCTTAGGGAGCCCTCGTTCCAGAATTAAGTATTTTCTCTCTGCCTGTCTAAAATTATTTAATTTGCGAATTATATAGTGTACAGAATACAATTGTGAAATTTTGCAGGAAAGGGATGGAATTTTTTTTCTTCTGCAACTTTTTCATTTTTTCTTTTCATTCTTTCGTGTTTCTTATGGCTTTACCCTCTATAGATTGCCTGGAAAAGTCTTTGTTTCTACTGCCAAAAGAAAACTCTGGGTCTTGAAACCCATTACACGATTATATAGCAAATTGCGCATAAGCAATAATTAATTAGACAGTAACGTTATTCACTTTATCGATTCCATTATAACTCCAATCCATTCTCTTCACTTTTCACTCTTGAACAACTTTATCAAACATGGACATTCGACGAACGCTGAAGAAAGGAAACTGCGAAGCCGCAAACCCACTTTGATCCGCAATTGAGCAACTTTATTTTGCGGTTTTCACTCACCTGATTTTGCGCTGTTTAACCGGAGCAGAAACCGGATTAGTCAAGAAATAAGTTCAGAAGGAAATAATAGCTGTGGCCTCCGGAGTGCGCTTTGCTGGGAGACAATTGTTTAACTACATTCACATGCAGTGCTCGTTGCGACCGTCCGAGAACGGAAATAAGTCCTATCTACAATAAAGCACTTTTCTGTTCCTTCTTGAAAGAGAAAAATATATCAAGTCCAGTACATTTTTCATAAGCTTGATAAATTTCAAATTTTCAATTTGGGATTTTCCTTATTCCATTTTTGCCCTAAATCTAACGAGTTGTTCACAAAAGATCCCATTCGTAACGGTTTCCGGCATAATCAAGGCATAATTTTGCCCAGTTTCTACGATAATCTTTTAGATTAGATTGGACTTCTCTTAACGGTCTTGCATTCGGAATGAGGCGAAAGGACGGTAATGAACACCGTTCGAACAACGGGCTCATCGGAAACTGTGTGCTCAAAAAGGAAAATTTCACGCATATCTCACATGAATCAATCCTGTTCTGACTGCTAAAACTCAATTTATTTTAATTTTCCAAACCTTTTATAAATGTGTGCACTTAGCTACTATTAGATCAGCAGAGGTGCAATTTTGCCTATATATAAATAAAAATATAAGATAAACGCTATTGCCACAATAGGAAATATTCCACAGAAATACGAAAAACGTTTTCACAATATTGTTCCCATTTATGTCGGATGAAGCTTCTTTTTATTATATTTCAGAGATATTACCTAAGTGATGCTTAAGAAACTGTGTAAAATCTCTCTCTCTTTCTCTCTCTCTCTCTCTCTCTCTCTCTCTCTCTCTCTCTCTCTCTTTCCCTCCCTCCCTCTTGTTCCTTCCAACGTCTTTTTTTGAAACTGTTATTCATTTTGAAAATTGCTTACTTTCTAATTGTTTTGTCCTTCTAACCAGCATTTCTTACTCTCTCTCTTTCACTCTCTCTCACCCTCCCACCCTCTCGCTCTCTCTCTCTCCTCCACTCACTATCCATCTCTCTTTCTCCATTCTTACACTATTTTCTGTATCTCTCTCTCTCTTTCTCTCTCTCGCTCTCTTTCTCCCTCCCTCCCTCCCTCCATCCCTCTCTCTCTTTCACTCTCTCTTTCACTCTCTCTTTCTCTCTCTCTTTCTCTCTCCATCTCTATATCTTGTTGGCTTGTTTGATGTTATAAGAGGATCATTGTTTATTGTTGATGTTTGATTCTTGTTGATTCTTGAACAAAACTTATGCAGTGGCAACTTCTTCGACTACCTTGCGTCGAACAGTTAGTCGAAACTGACTAACTTGGAATCTATTGTATTTTCTAGTAGTTATGTTTATTTTTTGGATTTATCATTTTTTATTTTACTTCACTCTCACATTATTTTGGTGCGTATATTGGAAATTCAAAACAATTCACAGGTTGCTTGTTTAATTTTCTTTACCTAACCAAACTGAGTTTAATTTTTGTTTTGTTTTCTTTGGCAAAATTTCGTAAACAGCATTAATGCAGCCAAATTTCGGGGCGATACGATTTCCCAATTTGATATCCGCCTTGTACTTTCCATACGGAGCAATCGGCAAATTGAAGTTCAGTTTAAGGTCGAAATTGTTGAGCGTGTGATTCCCCTATTAAGAAAAACAGGCGATTACATAGACCCATAGTGATTTAGAAATATCAAACTGCCTTACCGGCGGTATAGAGCATGATTTTCTGCCCAATGCCTTAAGCATCCTCTCTAATAAATCTGGTACGAACATGCGTAAAGCGGAGCACCATCCCCCAAGTTTCTGAGTCCAGAAATTCTCCTTCCATCCTCCGTTTCCCCACACGGCGGATGCAATAGACACCTGGTTCAATAATTATTTATTTAATAAAGATTTCGATGACCCTCTATGGACACATTTTCACTTCAATAATGGTTCAAAAAATGGCAAGTCACACTCAACACCAAAAAATCCCAAAACATATCCTTGACCATCCGTCGCATCACTACCAATCATAACCTCAATTACCAAAATCTTCTTACCAAAAATCTCATCAGGATGTATCTAAATAAATAACCTGGAATCCTATGCAAATTCAAAAGGTCAAAACTGAACTGAAGATACCGATTACTTAAAAGACGACATATCGACAACATAATACTCATTTAATTGTTCTTTTCATCTAAGGTTTTCGTCTCAACCAAAACCTTAGATGAAAAGAATAATTAATTGGAATAATTAATATGGTCAATTATGACCAGTAAACAAATTTGAATTAATTTAATAATACTCAATACTGAAACCAATTTCTCTAGTTCCATACTGCATAGAATTATGGAGTTCAACCCAACCTTCCATTCTGCATCCGAAAATCCAAACCCAATAATCAAAAATCCTTAGATCCATGGTCAGCCGCACAATCCATAACGACATAAATATTATCTTTAAAGTTGCAAGATCCAAAGAAGTGACAAAGAATGCCTCACTAACCTCCAATTTTACTCTAGTCCTTTAACTTACTTCCGCTCTTCTCAATACTCCTTATTGACGTTTAAATAGACCGTGTGCTATTGAATTGTCGTTGAAATTGTTTGAAATTAATTAAAGTTCCTGTTTTATTAGGATAAATTAAGATTATTTCTTATCTTTAAACAGGTTATTCACAAGCATCTGCTTTTTCCTGATACAAATCGATCTCTAGAGCCTTATTCCTGACAACCAAAATAGGACATGAATACCTGAATACTGCTATATTATATAATAAACTGGTATGAAATTCAGCTAGAACTGTCATATTAGAACTGATAGGTTGATAATGGCCTCTGGTTACTGAGACTTCCTAGCTCAATATGTATACATCTAGTTTATATACATATATAGTTTATATGTATATAAACCTACCTCAACAGATTCGTCGATGGGTGCGCTGTTTGAAAAATTGGTGCTGAGCACAAGAGGGGAGTTCCTTTTGACGATTGCGATTTTCGTGTCGTACAATTGGAAGTGGGTTCCCTGGTGTTTGCAAGCTGCAAATTCTCTCACTGCCACATTAAAAGGGCCCTGAAATTTAAAATAAAACCTACTATGTTATTATGTAAATTTTCTACAAAAAAATTGTAAAAAATTTTGTTGTTAATATTTAAGTTTGCTTATTCAATTCATTCTTTTTTCAAATCAAATGCACCAGTTTTCAAATTAAATTCTCTTTTTTTACAATTCTCTTTGGCAAATAAAGTTGCTATTTTAAATTAAATTCGCCAATTTACACAACAAATTCACCTTTCTGCAAATTAAATACAATCTTTTTCAAATCACATGCACCCGTTTGCAAATTAAATTCTCTCTTTTTCAATCAAATGCACCTTTTTGCAAATTAAATTCTCCCTTTTGCAAATAAAATTTACTATTTTTAAATCAAAGTCTCAATTTTTTAATCAAATGCACCGTTTTGCAAATTAAATTTTCTTTTTTGCAATTCTCCCTTTTCCAAATAAAATTTACTATTTTAAATTAAATTCACAATTTTACACACCAAATTCACCCTTCTGCAAATTAAATTCAACCTTTTTCAAATCACATGCACCCGTTTGCAAATTAAATTCCCTCTTTTTCAATCAAATGCATCTTTTTGCAAATTAAATTCTCTTTTTTACAATTCTCCCTTTTACAAATAAAATTTATTATTTTAAATCAAATTTCCCATTTTATACACCAAATTCACCATTTTGCAAATTCAAGGCACTCTTTTTCAAATCAAATGCATCATTTTGCAAATTCAATGCACTCTTTTTCAAATCGAATGCATCCATTTGAAAATTAAATTATATTTTTTTAATGAAATGCACCCTTTTCCAAATTAAATTATTTTTTTTGCAATTCTCCCTTTTGCAAATCAAATTTACTAATTTTAAATCAAATTTGCAATTTTACACACCAAATTCACTCTTTCGCAAATCAAATTCACTCTTTTTCAAATCAAATTCAATTGTTTTTTCATTAATGAAATCCTCCCTTTTGCAAATCAAATTAAAAATTTTGCAAACTAAATTTTCCACTTTTTTAATCGAATTCTCCATTTTGCAAATTAAATTCACTTTTTTGCAAATTAAATTTAACCATTTTTGAAATTATATTCACCCTTTTACAAACCGATTCACCCTTTTGTAAATTAAATTTCCCCATTTCCCCCTTTCATAAATTACATGAATCCCTTTTGCCAATTAACGTCACCATTTTGCAAATAAAAATTCACATTTTGCAATTAAATACACTTAATTACATATATGGTTTTTTATATTATCAAACATGTTATTTCGTTAGTAAGAATACTATTATGAATGATCTGTAGCAATTCATAAAAAGAGTAATCGAAAATCGTATGCTCCCATATTTACGTTATAAAGTGTAAAGAGGGGAGAAATAAAGAATTATACGATAGAAAAATGGGATCCAACAGGGTTGTTTATTAAAACTTCTGCTATTTTCATTTTACATAAATGACTTTAAATAATACTTGGAAATTAAAGGTTGGCTCAACCAGTATAAAATTGTTGTTGTAATTGTGCTATTCTTGCGTGTCGTATTGGGCACTCTCAATTACGCAGAAAACAAACACTTTGAGCCCTGAAGATGATCTCAATAAAGATCGAAACGTTGGCACGATAAAGAAAATGTTTTTCTGAAACCTACGTCACACCAGACCGCATCTCACGATTTCCGAATAATTATGGACTATCACTAATCACCATATATACCTATAATAATGGACTTTAAAAATGGCAAGTAAAAACTTTTTTATTATTATTTTTATTATAATCAAGAGTTCCCAGGTTCGAACCTGAACGAAAAGGCCGATTTTATGTTCAATTTCTAAATACAATTTAGCATTAAATTCTTCATTTTTTTAAAAACAAACCACTTTTTCAGTCTGAAATTTTTGTTTCAAATTTCCTTAAAGATCCTTTTCAAAATTTGTTGTTCAAACGAAGTAATCATTCAAACAAAACCACAACTTACAAACTTTTGAGAACAAGCACCGCTTAAAATCATGACAAAAACAAACAGCATCATGGCTTACGATCCGGCTTATAACTTTTCCACGACTGGGCGAATAGAATCGATCAGAAATTATAGGGCAAATTATACGAAATCAGTCAGATCGCGTCGTTACGTATTGCCAACTTCCTTTGACCGACGAACCAGATTTTATCGCTAATTATACCAATAAAGATGACAATGAAATAATAACCAGGACCAATGTGCTCGCTATAATATTTGTATCCCTTTTAAAAATTCTACGCTACATAAATAAACGGTCATAAAAAAGGTTTTCTTTCTTGGAGTTTCTTGTGTCCGGAGCTGGCTTTGTCTCGGGTCGAATAGGAAGGCGAACATGCACGGCTAGCCATGCAGAGCTTATTAGTGATTCAAAAAAGGAAACAGTACTGTCACTCAGTAGAGCTAGCTCAAAGAGCTCCACTAACCCTTTATTATGCAAGGCTTTGTTTATAGCGGTTGTTTAATTAAAATTTCCACCGGCTGTTGCATTTGTCACGTTTATACAAATAATGATCAATCCGAACTTTAATATTTCTCCGGGTTTAGAGAACATTTGCTATTGTATTCAGTCGTCACACTTCTTAGGTGTTGGGGAACAACAGATGGCAAATAGACTTCTTGGAGATTTTGCAAAGCATAGATTGCAAGTTTAATCATTACGTAGAGAAATGAAAACATGTATTTCCCACAAGTCCTTTGAAAAGAACATTAGAAATAATAAAAGGTTCGAGTATAATTTTAAAAAATTTCTCACGTTAAATTTCTTAAATTCTTGTACTTTCTGGTAGCTAAGAAATGAACTAGGATAAAACAAAGCTTCTCAAGTCAAAGCTTCGTTCGTTTCTTTTGTGTAAAAGATAATCCTTCTTTCGTTGGTAGCCAAATACACTGAACAGATGACAAGTCTTGGATCTCTCAGGGTTTTTAGCTTTCTGTTGTATCAGAAATCTACCAGGGGTAAACGTACTTCATATTAAATCCATTATATTTCGTCGTCCGATTGTCCAAATAACTTCATTCAATTAATTAATCCTTATGTAAGGTATTGGTCGAAATGAAAAAGTAAGTGTCACGAGCGGGATTCGAACGCACAGTACACGGAGTAGGCTACATACGCCACTACTCAACCTGATTTTTTTTTAAATAAGACCTAGTAATGAAGGCTCCGTTAAATCATAATACAGCCAAAATATGGTTCATGAAAAATGTTTTAAAAAACATTGTTAAATTTACAAAATTATTGAAATTGCAATTGGATCAGAATCATCTCAATGGTTTCTTCCTAATTCTCGAGTTATAAAATAAGATAAAAATCAAACACAGTAACATTTCTGAAGCGCCAATGTAAGAATCACCATAATTTACAAATTCACTAATTTCGTGGTCCGCTTGACCAATTATTATGTTACAATTAATTAAGCGCGATTCGAACCCACGATCTTCGGCTTGATACGCTGCTGCTCCACCACTTGAGCTATCGTGACCTCGATCCACTCGGACACCAACTTCCCATCTCAACCCCACCTTTTGAATTTTGTGAAAAATGGCAAAAAGGAGGGAAAATTCAAAAGGTGGTTCGTGGGTTCGAATCCCGCTCGTGCTATTGACTTTTTTATCTCAACTAAAAACCTTAATTAATTGTAATATAATTTGCAAAGTAGAAAGAATAAACAAGCACATCAACAATCAACAAGTACCCCATTGTATTAGGAAGAATAAGAACTAAAGTTGATGTGAAATTTCTCAATCAAAATACAAAGATAAAAAACGAATTTGGAATTAATGAAATGCTGGACAGATAAAATAACAAAATCTAAATTGATATACAACGAGAAACAGGAAAAACTTATCTGGGATTTTTCAAACAAGAACTGTGTATGAATCTGGATTTATAAACCAAATGACAAAATGAAGTCAAAATATAAAGGAAAAAATCTTCAAATCTACCAAACAAGAATTCTATGAAGCTGCTACTGTACAAAATCCTTGAAAATACTTAAATTTCCGTTTCAGTTTTCAATAAAATAGAAATAAAAACAAAACAGCCATGTCATAAGCTAACCCTGTGTATGAATCAGCCTGGTAAGAGACAAAATTTAAACTAAAGTTATCAATCAAAATACAAGGAAAAACAAAGCTGCCAGTTATTAAATTTTTGCTTTCTAAGATATAGGATAAACCTTAAATAGCTTACTCTTAAGAAGTAAAAAAAAATGCAAAAAAATTCATAAACAAACCAGGCATTTTTATATTCCCATTGGATAAAACTAAATTGACTAATACTAAAGTTGTAAAGAAAAGCACCTGCCTGAAATGTCTAAAGATACTACAGCGTAAAAATCGGGACAAGGCCTAATGGCTTAGGCTAAATATGTAAAATAAGATGCAAAAAAAACCAACATACAAATTTTTACATATTCAAAACTGAAATTTTATGATAAATTTATCAATAAAAACAGAAATAGAAATAAATCCAATTTTATTCTAATCTTGTCAATCAAATACTATACAGAAAACAAAAACCTGGCATTTATGAAGCTCCTGATGTCTAAGAATCAGAATAAGAATTAATTTTATATTTTTTTTAAACTCTGACAAATAATTATCTTGATTATCTGAAAGATTAACAAATATAACGATCTACCCACAATATTGAAATTTATGGTTTCAAACGTAATTAATTTCAGAGAAAAATACCATCTTGTTATACCAATTACAATTAGACTCCGTCTACGCAACATGGATCATAGTTCATTTAAAAAAATGAAAATTAAATATTTTATTTATTGTAAGAGCTGAAATTTGTATGTAAAATTTGTATTTGTGAATGAGACTGGACCGCCCGTCATAATATTAAGTGCCTCGGCGGTTCACATTTTTAGTGAGGAGTTAATGAGGAGCTACCTCTGAGGTAATTGTAGATGGCCTGACTCAATTTCTTTTGAACCAATGACGCTATAAAAAATACGTATTTAATTTTTTTTAATCTAGTATCAAATTTTTACCTTTTGTTGAAAAAAAATTATATAGGGTACATCAGGCCCAGTTCAACTTCAAAATTTCAAATACGACCCGCATCCCGACACATCATTTTAAACGGCTTTTAACGTTAAAAACAATGGTGCAATCGGATTTTAAATAGGTCGAAAAATGACTAAATGACACTTATTTGGTTTGCTATTTATTAATCACATTTCATGTTCGAACTGCCCGCCTTGCGTAAAGATGCAAAGATTTGCTCTTTTTAACCAATCTTCGCGGTGCTCAGTGAGATAGAGTCAGGGGAGATGCATTGGCAAGTATTTTCCAGTCAGATTGCTGGATTATGATTAGCGTAGACTCTGTTTTTTAAATGGTTCCACAGAAAATAGCGATATGGAGTTAAATCGGGTGACCGAGGAGGCTAAAAGATCGGACCATGAGGTCCTTTCAACCTATACCGGAAGTGACGGTTCAAATAACGTCTCACCTGCAAAGAATTGGGTGCTGAGCATCTATCAATCTGGAGAATCATTCTTTGCCTTTGTTGCAAAGGAACATCATCGAATAGTGTTGGCAAAACCTCCCTCAAAAATTGAGGAACTAAGTACCATTTAAATTATTTATCTTTGAAATAAGGCCCAATTAGAGAAGATCACCAAACGTTGATGCTGTCAACCACTTGATGATGTCAGAGTTCGAAATTTTCGGATTTTCCTCTGCCCTTGTTCAATTCCAACGGTTTAGTATGCTATTAGAGGTGAACTTCGATTCATCAACCACTAGGCGTTTTCTTCAGTCTTCCAAATCGACATTTGTGCAAGGAACGTTGTGATAATCAGGTCCCGAAGTCCCTGGACAAGATGAGAGCAATAAGGCTTAAAATTGCAAGTCCGGAATACATCTCTAATTTGATGTTTTGAAAAACTTAAAACCCTTCCAACATTTCGGAGAGAAGAATTCGGATTTGGACGACAATAAAATATTCGGCTCCTTGTTGAAATTACGCTGCCGGTTTCTTTTTGCCATAACATGGTCGTTTTTTGTCCAATTTAAAATTCAATTGCACCATTGTTTTCAGCGTACAAAATCCATTAAAATGAGGTGTCAGAAGTATAGGTCGTAATTAAAATTTTGAAGTTGAACTGGGCCTGATTTTTTTCCAAAAAAAAACGTAAAAATTTAAAACTACACCAAAAAATATTAAAAACGAATTTTTTTTATAGTCTCATTGGTTCAAGAAAAATTCAGCCGGTCCATCTAAAAAGGACACCCTGTATGTGCAAAGTGGTTGAGTGTATTTATTGGAGTGAATGTATGTATTAGTGAGAATGAATTCTATGTTTAAAGTAGGTTAGTAGTGTAGATCTGTACTTCGACAGAATATGAAGTACCATGACGGTCCCCCTCATGTTACCAGTTAGAATATATAGAATAGAGTTAGTGTGTGTAAGTGTGAGTTAGGACAGGCTACTGACGGAATTTTGAGTACCTCGATAACCTGCCAAATAAGTATGAAAGTCTAATTTCAGGAAATAATCATTTTATAGGGGCGGGTCACGTACAGTGTGTCCCAGACAAATAGAGTTTAGATTGATATCCACCCAGATATAAATATTTACATCCGACAAGAAGAAGAATAAATTTTTGAATAGAAATTTTTTTTTTTACTTTTGTCTTGTTTTAATTACCTTGCTCACTGTTACTTATTACCTTCTTTAAGGTAGTTGTAATGTACTACAAATTATATATTTTTTAAAATAATAGAAAATAATAATTAGTAGGGTACAAAGTGGGGAAGAACAATGGAGATTACTCCCATCCCAAAAATGCGAGAAAGTTTATATGCGAGGTGCCAGTAATGGCTGACCGGCGGAAAAAAATTGTTTGAAAGTTCTGGAGAGAAAACGAATCAAGAATTTAAAACTATGAAGCACTTGATGAACAAAAGAGGATCCGGATACCGTGGATCGTTAATTTTAGTTTTCTTAAGACAAACAAGGTAAAAGATAACTTTACCTTTAACTTAGCAATTTCATTGTCTGTAAGGTTCAACTAGCCGTTAGACTTGATGATTTTGCCGTTTCCAGAGATGCTGGAAACGGAAAGCGAACTCGGCTCTTGAAATCCTTTCCGTCTAGTTGGATTGATCCGGTCGAAAGGTTAAGACAAGCCCTGCGTAATAG